CCCGCCCCCCAAAAAATCAAACTATGAATAATTTTCATACAAACAAAAACAAAATCAAACATACAAACGAACGAACAAACAAAAGACAACTTCCGTTATGAGCCATCTAGAGTGAGAGAAAAGGAAACTACTGCTCTACTTGGCACAAGCAAGGTTCAAACGGATGTGTGTCGAAGCATGGCTGCAAAAAAATCAATATTTCAGTCGACTAGCCAACTCAAATTTCAAAGCGTGGAATTCTGGTTCAAAAGAAACTCATCTCTACAGAGCTCTACTTGATAAGCCTTGCTGCAGTTTAATTCTGAGATATTTTTTTTATAAACCTAGTTTTTTCAAGAGAAGCAATATGATCTTTAAAAAAAGATTCTGGATATCTTTAGAAAAAAAGCCAGAACGGAAAGTCTTGGAGATACACTCTCACAACAGCAACTCAACAAACTTAAAATAAATTAATAAATCAACACGTGTATACTTAAGAATGCAAGCTTTCCGACGTTTGCAAAACCCAATCAGGGACCTCCCAGTCATAGCATCAGATTACGAAAACAATTATAATTATGTCAAGCGGGACTGATTTTTAGTATTGTGTCGTGAGTGTGAAAAAGGCTCTCAAATTCCTGATTACTAAATCCGAGAAAGACTCGGGAGGGAAATATTGACACAGTTGACACGCCCGGGTTAATGTCGTCTCGAGACCCCATCTAATCATTAAGTAACATATTACAACCCATTACACAGCAGGGAGTTCAGATTCAACGGACATGCTAGGGCAATACAACAAGTTAAGTATTACTTTCTAATAATGTACTAATTCCAATTTTGACTTCTGGGAGGCTTTGCCTATACTGTTGTTGAAAAACCTTCCCTTTGAGTCTACAATTGTCATCATTAATGATGCGCGCATTCTGTAGGATTTCAGTTTAATTTATACCAGTTCCCATTTTCACGACTGGAATTCAGTACTTTCAAAGTGATCAACCTCACATCTGGGAAAATGGACACAGTACAAGACAGTGCTAATTTTGTGATATGTCAAGTCATTCTCAAGTCATCTATTCACAAAACAATGTCAAAGATATGAAAGTTACACCATGTGGGGATGAGTCATAAAGACAATCAATTCGAGCCAACACACATTATGCAAATCGCATGATCCCCTGGCAAGGAAAACAACAACACCATCTGTTGCTTGATCTCACATCAAATTAATTGACACAATTTACATTACATTACACTGGATGTAAAGTAAAATAAATAAATACACAAGAGCTTGGTTCAGTAAGTGTTTTACAACGCTTGCAACGGAAATAGGTCATATCAGTATCGAAGATTAGAGATGTTACTAGAGAGTGACATACAAAGAAAAGAAGGAGGTGAGATAAAGACGATAGATGTTTAATAAGGAAGAAGGAGCAAACCACATCAGAGCTCCCGCTAACCACTAACAAATTCGCAAAAGGTGACCCAGAAGGCAAGCAATGGGCAAAGCGTTTAGAGAACAGTGAAAGGAAGGAATGACAGAAGAACAAGTTGATGAAAGATCAATATCAATACCGTGTACACGAGCATCTAAGAATAAATGAGGATGCACATTGCCCTTTAGTAATTTTAGAGGCGTTACACTCTTTTGCAGATAAGCAGTGGATCTATTTATTTTCACTCCAACCCAATGGGGCCAAGGTACACAGGTACGCACAAATATGGTTGTCACGAACATGATTCATAGAAAAGGTTGCAAATCGTATAGAGCTAGTTGCTGAGAGGGGATAAACGCAGCACAAATAATGTATATCATTATTATTACAATTAATCATCACAAAATACATCATAATGCAGTTAATTAACTGAAGCTGGCAACAGAAACATCAAAGCAGTTATGACAAGAGAGATAATTATTGATGAGAAGGGAAATGACATGCGCCCACGCAGGTGCTGATGCTTTATCAGCATGGCAATCAGCCTAGAGCAGAGACACTGCCTGCATAATAAACACAATTATTAAAAGCAAAGGAATATAGCAACAAAGCATATACAAATTACACGTATTACCAGGTATACTTAAACCTGCTGTAACAGCCACCTACACTGATGACCACTTTATGCCTTGAGTTTTACACTTCACTTCTATATATTTCAAAGACACAGTCCAAGAAAACCACCAGTACCACAAACCACTTCACACCTTGCTTTTTACACTTTAAAACATATTTAATGACATTGTCCAAGACAATCAAGTGTCTAAGATGACCACTTTTCTCCTTGACAATGGTTAATCGTCTTGAACAGGTTCAAGTTCTTAGACCACACTACATGTGCATTTGAGATGATTTTTCCACAAGTTCCTACCATGCTTTTGTTAAGAGAAAACAACCCCCCTTCCCTCCCCCCCAAAAAAAAAACCCACACATTATAAACAGATAATCAGATAACTATTTTGTTTGAGCTCCCAGGAAAAAGTAACCGACATCAGCATTAGGTCATTTCACTTGAGCTTTTAATATCAATTATACTATCTACGTTTGTTTGTTTGTTTGCCAAAGAGAACCACAAAGACTCCAGAATGCTCATAGTATAGAGCTGGGAAAAGCAAGAAACACTAACAAAAAACAACAACCAAAAGCAGGCTACCAAAAAAAAGTCCAAGTTGGCATCAGCCAACCACCTGCTACATATGAAAAAATCTTCTACATAAATCTGTGGGGAAATGACAGCAACAGCCATCACAAAGACACATAAACTAGACACAATCTTTGAGACAAAACTGAGCACCATGCAATGAGATAGACAAGTAGTAAGCACAAAACAAATTTCATGATTTCCCGTCTTCTGAAAGACATGCAAAAAAGACCATGAATGAACTCTTTCTTTGTCTACACATCATGTTATTATCTTTTTTAAATACGAAAATCGAATTGAAACTGTATGGGTTTCATGTTCCTAACAACACTATAAGATTGATTAAAAAGCGAAATCTCTGAATTTGATATATCCATCTCAAATAGGAACAGGCCAAATAGGAATATTGTGTAAAGTGCCTTTCTCAAGGACACAAGACCGGACTGAGCTGAGCCTCGAAACGAACAAGATGAGATTTCATACATAAATGCAACATCTTAGATATGACATTTGTGGTGATGCAATATTTCTTAATTACATTATCAAAAAATGGGCAAAAAATAATGGTTGCAAGGTGTAAGTGAGAAAGGTTCCTTTTCGTCCAATGGTTTAACTTATCAAAGTCACAAAGTGCTTAGCAGTATGATTTAAATGTTGTCATAAACTTAGCTAAAAAGACACTACAGTTCAGCAAAGAATCCAACACAGACCATATATATATACGTGCACAAGAAATGGGAAAAACTAGACTAAAGCCATCATCTACATTTTTCATGGCAAAGTCATTATTACCCTTTTCCCTTCCATAATGTCACAGTCTAAGTCAAAACAGATTTTGAAGAAAAAAAATAGCACTGGTACAAACTCTGAAATTCTAGTATGCACAACAACAAAAATCTTATTGAGTGCATTACCTTTCTCTTTTTAAACCTATTACCACACACACACATCAACATTTTGAGTTTGAATTATAGAGCGGTAGATTGACCACAACATTCAATAACGCTAGAGGGATGGTGGGTAAGAAGACACACAGACTAAGAGCAAAGAGGTAGGATTTATCAGTAGAACCCTTCAACAAACCACATGCCATAAGAGGACAAGCAACCCTTCATCACACAATACAAACAAGAGGGAAAACAAGGTGAGGAAGGCCACACACGTGTTCACTACTCACCCGCATGTCCTTTCAGTGTGACAATGTGATCAAATGAGTTCTCCTTGACTTTGATGACAGAGATTTGGCCTGAATAATCCCCGATAAATGCTGATTTGGACTGTTCATCAAATCTGAACATAAGGTCAAGGAGCATAGTAATTAGTGGATTAAAAAAAAAACCCACAGAAAACTGGTCTATTGACGCTACCGACCCATGGATAATTATTTGATTATACAGTAGAACATTACATGGCTATAGCGGGACATTAAGTCCAAGAAGAAAAATCTCACAGTACGCAAGTTCCCGCTATAGGAATGTAAGGGGGAATAGCCGAAAAATCACACACTACACGCTCTCCTCTTCTCTTACTGTCTTTTTGGCCTATCCTAGGCCTAGGGCTATGGCACATCACTTTTGGAGTGGCTCATTTAATCCGTTTCATCGCATCATCTCTCTCTGCCACCTGCCCCACCTCACTCATCACCGGACTGGCTAATCACTACACCGCACCACTGACTGTCTGTTTAGAGCCAACCTACAGCCCCCCAACCCCTTTCCCCCCGTTAGAGCTCGCTCGATCTCTCCTGCCCACTGTATCCACGTTCAAGCTTTTCCTTGTCCCGTTTAACCCAACGCCGCACCACTGGCGGTGTGTTTGGAGCCCACCAACAGCCCCCCAAACCCTCTCCGCCAGCTAGAGCTTGCTCGATTTCTCCTGTCCACTGTATCCAAGTTCAGGCCTTTCCTTGCCCCGTTAAACCCAAGCACAGTTATTTGAGTTTACTTTCATAGAGAAAAAAAGGGGATTCTGGAAGGTACCGCTGTAGCGTTTGCTGCTATAGTCATGTTCTACTGTAGTGTAAAAAATGTTTCTGATCCTCCTTACCTTTTTTATGAGAAAATGTAATCTTTTGAATATATATCATTTGTGAGGCATCGTGGTGAAATCACGCGCTTGTCAACGTAATGATATCGAAGAATACGGCATTTTTCCCGCGGTTTGGCAATTCTAGTTTTTTGGCTAAACACCTTTTAAATCCATTCAAAAATACATTTATGTGTGGATTTAACTGAAAAATGTTGATTTTAAAGGAAAAAACCCCCAGTAAATTTTCAATTTCCAAAGACTCTCAAACTTTGGAAATCTCCAAAATTTGGTAGCCATTTTCTCCTTAATTTGACCTGGAAAACCAGGCGACCCGCACCACCTTCAATCGTAAATATCTCAAATTCTATGTAAGATAGACAATTATCTTTTAAACAAAAGTAGGACAAAAGAACAAGCTTTAAGATGATACTAAGTACTCCATATGCCAAAAAATTGACGAGCGCCTGATTCCACTGTGTCGTGACACATTTTTCTTTTTTAATTTGTTAAGCAAAAATTTCAATCGTTTCTATAAAACAAAAGTATATTGTCGGCTGGCTGTTTTGTGTCTTTAAGCCCCTCAGAAACTTCCCAAAAGCCACGCAATGCAAGTCTGGCTCTCAGCAGAAGATTTTCACAATTCATTCCCACTTGACCCAGCATAAAGGATACTCCAGACACAAACACATGGCGTTGGCTTGATATCCACCCAGTCTACGACCGGTCTCCGAGCAGTGCCACATAAAATACTTGTCCTTGCCACAGCTGAGCACCCATTCACAAGCCACAGAAAATATCACCGCAGTCACTCGACTTTGATGGGCTAGGGGGAAAAAAAGCAGACATAAGTAGAAGACATTGTCGAACTGGACAACAAAATTCAGATTCTCAAAGTGGCATCTGAGGCAGAAACTATTATGATCAGGCTCTTTACTTTCAAGGGAAAGGGTGCAAGTTTCATTCCCACAAAGGAAAGATATGTTTAGTGAGTACCTGTCTTTTTGTAGACAAAAATAGGTGAGTCTGTCTAAAGATATCAGGAATATGTATCCTCTGGGCCATTTTGAGTTTTTGTGCTTTTATGAAAGCTCGGATCTTCCTGCTTATTATGCACTTTATTTTTTTCAATTATTTTTTCTAGAAGATGAGATATATTGCATTTTGAAGTAACAAAATGCGGAAAAGTAAGAACTGAGAAAAACATATTCAAAGTTATAGGAACACCATTATTGCTTTTTAATATCTGAATGCAAAGTGCAAATGGGAAAAAAAAGAGAAAATATATTTTAAAGTGGTTTTTACAAGAAACAGCTCTTGAATTATTCTCTAAAACAGTTAGGGAATCCCCTGGTATGCATAACTCAAAATCAATCACAATTGACCACACCAACTTTTTTTGCTGATATCTTGGTTCGAGGTTTAGAACCATATTCCCTGTTTCTTCAGACCCGCTCACATATTCCTAAAAACACACAGTTGAAGCAGCCCACCTCCAAAATGATAAAAACAGTGTTTATCACTTCCAACCACTTATTCAAATTTATGCTCAAAATAAAATATCAGCAGCACTGACAACTCCTAAAAATCATAAGACAAAAATGAACCCCAGTACACAGGTAACAAGCATGAGCCGGGATACCTTATTCTAAATCAAATCTACACTTTTGGTGTGAAGACAGCACTCTATGATTAAATCATAATCAAGAGACGGTCTATCACTCACAGAGTGGAACAGTATTACAGTCTAATTGTAATATTAATTTCAAATGAAGCTCCATTATAAAACTCTGTATTGACTTGTACTTAAAATGAATTTTGACACGGCATGACATGAGGGGATCCTTTTTTTTAAATTTCAAACAAAAACTTAAATTTTTAAAAAGATATCTACTTCACATTAATTTATTTATAAACACAATCATTCAATCACGAATGTGGCAGAGAGACAGCAGTTGAAAAAAGCCAGGAGTAGCAGGAGAAAAATCAGGAGTAAGGGAGAGGAGCACGGGTGAGAGGGTGGAGAGAAAGTCAAATGACAGAGACCAGCAAAAGAATAGAAAAGGAGGATGGAAGTGAAAAATTTCTTCTTGCAGGCAGGTTTTGATCCCAAGACCTTTTGAATCTGATTGAGAGGAGAACACTGTACCTCTAGCCCATGAGAGCCCCAAGTAAGGATGTAAAATTTGGATCGCACTATGAAAAAAATCTACAAGCACTGATTATTCTACCAGAAAGTTCCACACAGCCCCATAAAGGCAAGGTAAAGTTTCATATCATACTCAGCCAATGTGAGTTAACACAGCCATGCACTCTAAAATAGCATACCTATGAAATCTCTGTGGTGGATGAGTCTGTTGTAATCTTCTGTCAGCTCAAATTCCTGTGGGGGAAAAAAATTCATTCAGAAACTAGAGCATTTAACAAGTAAACTCCCTTTTCATTACACATTATTCAAAATGGGGTTATTTAAAACTAGTCAAATAGGTAATCTAACCAAAGCTTAATTCCAAAGACAAACTTGAAAATAAAACATAAAAAGGTCAAGCATAAAAGTCAACACTTTGATTAGTATTTTCATCAAACAACAAATAAGAGCAATAAAACACATGAAGTGAATGATGAAAAACGAAGAAACAGAAAGCAAGAGACAGACAAAGGTAGATGTCTATACTGAAAACCATTCAGAATTCTGAACATTTCTATAGACAAGAGAACTCAAACTTCTCTCACTAGGAAAAAAAGGGAACTAACAGAAAAGTAATCAACTCACTGTGATATTCCCATTGTCTTGGCCTACAAACATTCGTCTCGTCTCTGAACTATAATACACACTGGACGCCTCGGCTGTGAAAACATTGCAAAAGCATTGAGTACAAGGGTGCGCATTTCTGTGTGCACAGAAATAAAAATGTTTCATATATTTAGGCAAGCGAATAGAGTAAAGACAAACTCAAAGCTAAGGAATGCCAGTCCAGAAGACACCAGTTCTTAGAAATCTTACAATATGAGTGTGGACTACTTAACTCTTTGATTCCACATTGCTATATAAGTGGCATATGTTGGTTCCATGTTTTAGCGGATCACTACTTAAGTATCATTTTTGGGTTACCATTTTGTCAACTGTAAGATCTACAAGTCCTATGCTTCATTCACTACCTGTTTGAACCCATATTGTGATTTTCTGTCCAATTACAAATAGTTCAAGTTTGAGTGCCCTCAAAAACAAATCCATCAACATTTGACTCAATTGAATCATAGTCATAGCCATTTTAAGGTGACACTCTACTCTTAGCCACCTGAAATTGGGTGCTTAAGTTTGCGGAATCCCTTGCATTATGCAATACCAATGACTGGCTACTTCCCATACAAAAAAATCATTTTTAATTTTTAATTTGCTTCTATAATTACATTTTCAGCAAATGTAAACAGATAGCTCCATAATGTAGACAACTGTATGATATAAAAACACAACAGACCACTCATTTTTACAACAACAGGGATTACCACGGAAACTTAAGTCCCAACAGTCTAACCTAGAAATTACCATAAAATTTTACCAAGGAATTAGCAGTAGACTGTTGTAAAGAGTGTAATAATAATTTTTAAAATGGATGGCATTTATATGGCGCATATCCACTTATGCAATGCTCTATGCGCTTAACATGAAACATATTATGGAATTACAAATCAATGTTATAGGCACATAGTATTACATATGCGTGCACACACATACTCATGTACGCACGGACCCACACACACATACGCACATACAAACTCATGACGATCTACAGCTTGGATGCATTCTGTCTTATCGAAATATGATGAAAATAGAAAATCTTTCAGTTTTTTCTTTAAAATTTCTAGATTTCCTGCTTTTCTCATAGTTTTAGGAAGCCTATTCCAAACACGTGGGGCAAAATATGAAAAAGAGCGTTGGTCATATGATTTGTAATTTATTTCAGGTTTAACAAGGGTAGTTTTGTCACTTGACGATCTGAGAGTTTTAGGTAGTACAAAGGGTCTTAAAAACTGGTTCAGGCATTCAGGTGATAGATCGTGTAAGTACTTGTAGCAAGTTAAACAGATTTTATATATATGATACTGAAATCCACCCCTTGGCGCTCATATAACTTTATAAAAGCAATTAATTGCGAGCGCCATAAAAACTCTACTAAAACTAAAAAATAGCTTTGAACCGATCTTGAAATTAGAGCATAATATATTATATCCAAAATCATTGAAGTAAATACCGCAATATTTAGTACTTGATGATTACAAGACAGGGTGGTATGTGGAGCAAACAAGAGTTGAACATGCCTCAAGAGTTATTCACTGCTATTCAATTTTCACTTGTCACACCATGAATAGCCCACTCAAGGGCACTTGATTCTTGAAGTGTAGGAAATGTTTTATACCAAGAAATTAAGTAAGAAGTAGGCTGTAGCAATATGGGCTCTCTTTTCCTCTATTTGAAATTTGAAGTGTTATAATAGTGATATAATATATGACATCATCCACTGTGTATGTGCTGGCACAATGCATGCTCAGTGAATAGCGCTTTTGTGCAGTTAATAGTTAGTGAACATTGAATACTGGATGTCAGGGATGGACCTACCTATACTATAACAAAAGTAAAAAACCCCATTAGCACACGGTATTCCATTATAGTGACCTCGCTCTTCAAAGTCCCCCCCCCCCCTCAAAACAGCACAGCACAAGACAGCATGCTTCACAAATTATCATCTCAGGACCTAAAGGATTTACTCACAAGGCATTGTATGGCAAATGCTGGGCCAGTATTGTCCAGAATCTCTCTTTAACCAAACACGGAGCGTTCTGTAAGGAGGAAAGGTACACATTATAAAAAAATTTACCACAAAGCTAGTTTACCTCTCCCTTCCTTTAAAAGCTAGATAAAACAGCTGTACAGTTAAAAATAATAATAACTATAACAATAATTAAATAATACAGTAGTCTCTGCCTAAGATCCCACCGCTTACGATCACTGTTTGCGTAAGATCCCGCTGATTTAAGACAACAAAATATTTAACATGATGTAGGTACAATATATCCAGTTAACAACATGTCAGTGTGGCACTGGGATCTTGTGTGACTTTGGTATTTCAGTCTGTTCTTTTATATTTCTCCTATACACAAGTCACCCCTAAGATCCCGCTTTGATTCACTCTGAAGGTCTACATTCAGGTAAGACCTCACAAGAGAGCGAGAGAGATAGAGAGAGAGAGAGAGAGAGAGAGAGAGAGAGAGAGAGAGAGAGAGAGAGAGAGAGAGAGAGAGAGAGAGAGAGAGAGAGAGGGGGGGGGGGGGGGAGGGTCCCCGCCAAATCCTGGACATTTTTTTCAAGACCCCAATTCAAGGGAAAAATCAGGCCGCCTGCGTGTCAAGAATGATCCCCAAAAAGAGTAGAATTTATCTACAGAGGCAAATCGCTGTCGTTGCAAAGAGACTTGGTGGCTTTAAGACGAGGAATCTCCTCGATCGAAAAAAAACTGGACGATAGATTGGATAAAAGCATGGTTACACGTAACGATAAATTGTAAAAAAACTGGTTGTACAAAAAAGTTACAAAATTATAGATCTAGATCTAGATGGAAAGCTAGTCAAGCAAAAGATCTAGCTAGATCTCGTTTGCAACAGTTTTTAGTGCCAGGTGGTCTGCTAATCTTCAATTTTACCTTTTTCTACAACAAAGAAAGTGGGAAACATGGGGGGGTTGGGGAGGGGGGCGTATCAATGAGGCGGCGGGCATCGAATCGACAGATAAGGTGAGGGGGAAACTAAAAAATGGCGGAAAATTGGAAGCACTGAACGTTAGATCCATAGAACGAAGACACTTCCTTTTTTCCAGACCCGAGCCCGAATAACATTTTTTCATACGGACTAAAATTTGAGTCCGAATATGAAAAAATATTATTCAGACTCGAGTCTGAATAAAGACGGCCTTGGAAAATTGTCAGTAAAACAAAACACTTGACCATTTTCAGAGATCGAGAAAACAAAGCTCACAGTCACAGTGAGAGAAGTTAAGCTGTAGATGGAATTATGGTAGATCTAGATCTAGATTCTAGATTTAGATTCTAGGTTTTGAAAAACTGGAACTGGATTTGAGAGTAGGATTCGAAAGTTCCCCTTTCTAGGAACTCGGGCTCTGGATCTAGATATCTAGAATCAAGACAAGACTCCCCAAATCGTTGATTTCCAATGAACAAATAAAATGGGCTAATAAACAGTAAAGATCAGAACCCTATTCCAAACAGTCCCTCCCAGATATAGAGATCTAATTAGACCTCTACTACTCTATTTTTTTAGTTTTCTGAACTGCTTTTTAAAATCTTTTAAAATTTATCTGAACAAAGAAATTACTGAAACTGAAACTCAAAGCTATGACAAAGCATGTCATGTTTTGAGAACAGAAAGAGTGATAAATTCTACTAGATCTAGAGTAAAAGCATTAAAATCTAAATGATGGGAAAATGAAACAACCGCCCACAGCGGCAAACACCGCCCCACACAACACACAGAATTCTATCTTTCTTCGTTGTTAACGTTTTCCCTTCCACGAACACTTTGTTTGCAGAGTTAGCGCACCTCACAACTGATGAGAATGTTGTTTAACTTACTTGTCATCGCTAACGCTTATTACTCCCTCCTCTTTCGGTATAATTATGGCCATGTTTATAGTGTCTGGACATCCTTCAATTTTATTTATCAAAACTGGCCGCCTGACGTTCCCTTGTTTCCTATCCTCTTCTCTTATTTCAGCTGCCATCTTGTCTTGTTATTATCACGTGATAACTTCCTTTCCCAAATAAAGGAAATGTAACTCCGAAAGTGACAGAGACGTAAGGGGGCTTAATGCAACAACATCATTATTATCATTTTCCACTGGTCACGCCCCTTGCTTGCTGGCTCATCCAGACAATGCGTAACAAAGATTGCTAGACCTATTGTGTTATTTGTCACTCAATAAATGTTCTTTCTTGTTCAGACTATTCATTAAAAAGATACGATTAAAGGAAAATCACCTAACTATTGGACAAATCCCCC